AAAGAGGAGGATGAAAGAATGAAAGGAGAGAGGCAACAGAAGGAAGAGAGAACGACGAGAGGGAGTGAGGGAGGAGGGATATGAAAGGAAAAGGGGAAACAATCGCGACAAAAGAGGAGCTGGGAGGGAGATGGGGAGCGTATTAGGCCAGCACAGTGACAGAGCAGATTAGCATCAAACAAGAAAGGCCACAGACGTGTGTGTGTGTGTGTCTATGTGTGTGTGTGATCACTGAAACAGAGGACATATTCATTCCAAAGACGCCACCAAGGTGGATGGAACTTTGATGATGCAGAATCTGGCAAAGGGAAAACTCAGTGTGTGTGTGTGTGTGTGTGTGCTTGCTGAATCTGCGTAGGCTCCTGTTTCAAGTGGTGGTGCAGGCAGGTAGGGAGGAAGAGGAGGAGGACGAGGAGGAGGTGGAGGAGAAAGGGGAGAGATCCACAGAAAAGGGCCTTGGGGGCATCCTGATACACATCCAGTACATTTCCATCTCCACATTACCTCTATGACTCACACACACACACACACACACACACACATATAAGACGGAAAAACATAACAAATGTGTCCGCGCACATATATAATACACACAAACACACCATTCCCACACCAGCATCAAACAGCAAAAAAAAAAAAACCAAAACACACACAACCCACGCACCCGCACTCACAAACATACACAGTCACACACACAAACAACACCCACACACACACACCAAAAAGCCACACACAAACACTTACACGCAGAGTCTTCGTGCTCACCAAGGCGGTTGGTTTGTCAGGGGGGTTAGAATTTGCATGGCTGGGCAAATTTTCCTTGTGCTAAACTCTAATCAGCTCCTGTATCTCTCAGACACCTGCCCAGCAAAAAAAAAAAAAACCTTAATATGCAAAACACCTCCCCCTCCCTCCTCCACCGCCGCGGCAGCTCCTCAGCCAACAGAAGACTTATTCACCTGGCCTCTCTCCCTCTTTTCCTCTCTGTCTGTCTTCTTGCAAATTTTCACATTTACGTATGCAAATAGGCTGTTTCCCTTAAAGCCTGTTTCAACAGTAGCTTCCTGGTGCCAGGAGAAGAATGAGAGTTTTTGTCTGAGATGTGATGGGAAAGTTATGCCTCAGAAAGCAGGGGAAGAAATGGTACATTACCTGCGTTTGGGCAGGTGCGTCGTCATTTTTCGGGAAGGTGCTGCGTGCGAAGTTTTTTTTTTGTGGGATTTGCAGGCCGTCTTCCTAGAAGTTGTTCTGTCAGAGGTTTTTCTGTGACCGGTTGTGTGAGTCACACAAACTTGTCTGAGGAGTTTGGATCCATTTCACTTCTTTAAAGTGAAATACAGCATCAGTCAAAGACGCATGCTTGAAGCATCCAGTTTACATTTAGCCCAGCAACGCTCATGCTTTGCAGTTACTTCACGCTGTAAGAAGTTAAACTACAGCTAAGCTATGTGAGGGAGAAAACTAGTTTGCTTAACTCAAGTTACTTTGAAAATTATTTCAAACTGCTTGGTAAAAATAAAATCAAATTGACAATGTACACGTGATACGAGATTATAACAAAATATAATTTAAAAAAAGTCATTCCAGCAAAAATGCCACATGTTTACAGCTCATTAACAACAAAAGAAAATTAAAAAAAATACCTCACTATTCATAGAAAGTGCAAAGAATGTCAGCGCGTGTCCATCAGTCAGATCCTACCTTCAGAAACTAGAGTCCAGGTGAGGGGACTGCACCAAGCAGGATTACTAGCCAGGTGACTTCTAAAATAGCACGCAAAAACTTCTCTAAACATTTTCTAGTAAACAGCAATAATGAATACGTCTGACGAGTTGTGGTTACAGGGCGTTAAACTACAGTATAGAACTGAAGGTAAATAAAACTAAAAAATCATTCCCTTTCTTTCAAGGCCCCAAAAAATGTCAAAAAGTTATTTAACTACTTGAATCACTATGTAAATATGGATGTAGTTGAACTGCAAATTCCTAACTACTCCTCAACACTGGATTTTTAAACATGAACATATCATGTTTGACACAAGAAGTCTCTTTTCAGATTTATCTGCTAAAGAAAATTTGTTTCTCCATGCCTGCTGTAAATCTGAGTTGTACGTACAAACTTGATTTCATGACATCACAACTAGTCCGGAAGCCATCTGCGGCCCAAAATGCGACTCTCGCAGAAGTATGATGTAGAAACCTGAAGTCTCCTGTGCGCACACACTGATCGACTTTTCAGCGTAGCAGGAGACATTTTTGTGTCTGACAATATTTGTATATTCATACACTCTGGACAAAATGGTGCCAAACAAAACCCAAAGGCAGCTGTAATCATAAGACAATCGGTTTTGGTGCTACATGGCACCCATCTATAAAAGGTGCTATAGGGTGCCTTTTTCAAATAGGGTTATATAGAACTATTAAAGGTGCCATACAGCACTATATTCTTTTTAAATTTCTGAGCCCACCAGGCCTTGAATGATATCAGATAATACCATCGACGAGTCAATCTGCTTGTAAATGACACTTTTAGTTGAAATATGAATGTTTATTAATCATGTCTTACAAATTGTTGATCAGGTTGACCTCTGTTGGAGGCACTGGAATATTTTTCATGCACATGGAGGCAAAACAGTTGAGCAACACAGCTTTAACGTGTTATCCTCTGGAAATATACTGTTTGTAGGCTATTTTAATGCAGTGTTTTTATTCCTTTTAAGTCATAGAGAACCTCTAAGGAACAATACAGAGGCTTTAAATGTTTTGTTCTTCCTCCTACTTCAGTTATTTTACTGGGGAAAGATCTAGTGGAGAACCTCTAAAGAACCATCCAGGGACTTAAAGAGTTATTTGTGAGGCAGTGGTGCTGTATCTTATCCCACGCCAAGGAACTGCTGAGGAACAAACTTGTTTTTTTTTTGTGTAGATTCTGGATTATTGATGACGAAGAGGGAAAATAAATATTTTAAAAATGTTTAACTAAGTAAGCTAACTTTTTTTTATCAAGGAAAAAAGCTGCGTATTTATATATGTCTTAGAACATGCCTTCAACTTCTATGAAACGACACAAGGCCAGAATCAAGGACATTTCTATAAGAATCAAATTTGTGAAGCTGTGTGTGTTTTCAGGATATTAATTTACTTCCACTTCCTGTTGTGAGTGTCAGGTGAGTTACCATAAGCAGAGCATAATTTGATATGAAAACAGAAACAAGCTTTTGAAGGAAAATACGCCCCGATTCCAGGATCAGGAAAAACGAAACCTAAATGACAAAACAGTGTTATCCTTTAACGATGTTCTCCTTATATGCTCTGCTTTTAAATCTAAACTTTGCTGCAGCCATCGAAGGTCACTGTGAATGAGCGTTGGCCAAAGTAAATGCCAGAGATAGGTGAAGGGTCGTTCTCTTCTTGATTTAAACTTATTTCCCTCCAGCTAAACAAATGATTCACTCACCCGCAGCTGAGCAGAAGGAATCGTGTCATTTTTCTTTGTGCTTTGCTCTGATGGACTTTGGGCTTATTGAGACCTCATATATACAAGTGCCTCTGCCTGCCAGAGTCTTTCAAAGCCTCCCTTAAGAGGGCTGAAGATGGATGTGGGGAAGCGTGTGTGTGTGTGTGTGTGTGTTTGGGTGCACACAGAGGAGCCCCAGTGGACAAATAACGGACAGAGAGAGATAGACGTAAACAGAGAGAAAGAGAGTGAAGCACTTTAAATGTGAGCGCTGCAAAACTCCCACTGCTCGCAAGGGCACTTCTCTCCTGCACGTCATCTCTCTTTCCCCCCTCTCTCCTTCTACCCTTCTTTTCTCCCCTTCCCATTCCCCTCAATTCCCTCCCTCCCTCCCTTCATCGTTTTCTCCTTTGTCTCCAAGCTCTCACCCTCTATCCCCTATCTATCCATCTCCCTCTTCCCCCTCTCCCCCTCTTTCTCTCCCCTTCCTCTCACTAAAACAGTAGGACGCTTAACCTTGATAACAGTGAGATTTTTTCCCCCCTCAAAGTGACACACTCACACACATACACACACACACACACACACACACACACACACACTGGAGAAGTGCTTTGCCAGCATGCCAGGCCGGTCCAAGGGACGGCTGTACCCTTCGAGGTGAACAGGACACTGGGAAATGCAGCAACAACAAAACACTCACACACACACACACACACATAGACTGGATCTCTCAAACAAATACACACACAGACACACACAAACCCAGATCACTCCAGGTCCTTCTTAACACAAGCCTTTTAAAGGTCTATTGTCAGCTGACATTGAGAGAGCACTGGCGATCCTGAAATGCACCACACACACCCACACACAGTGGCAAAAGGAGAAGTGTAAAAAAAATGAAACGTATTAAAGGTGAAGTCAACTGCCGAGAATTTATGATCACAATACACTGGAAGACACACACGTATAAACATCTCACCACAGATAGGTAAATGAGGACGGGGAAGTAAAACGTGGTTTCTCAAACGCACACACACACACACACACACACACACACGCACAAACACACACACTAAGAACCACTAAAGGGAAATGAGCAGTGAGGAAGAGGTAAAGGTGTCAATAAGGTTTCTTCCTCATTGGAGAAGAGTTCCTCACGTCTCTACATGACCAAAACCTGTGATGCAAGCTGCAGGAAAATATTTTTCTCAAATTACTGCTGTCCAGTGAAAAGCATTGAGATAAACTGAAGTTGGAAGTTGGAGATGTTTTTCACCGGATAACGACCATATACATTATAGCACAGTATGGCGAGTGCGGCAGGATATATAAGAGACTTGAACTCAGCATTGAGAACAGTCACAGTGCGGCGGTGTCAGAGAGGACACAGTGAGACGGTGTCACACTACCCGTCTGCATCACGAGGTATCAGGTGAAATTCGACATTTTTTTGTTGGGTATGGAACGCATTAGCTCTCAGCTCCTCCTCTCACATGCAACGACTTATTTCTCCTGCATTTTATTAAAGTGTTGGTGTTTACCTCAAAGTCATTGGCCTTGTTGTAGTGCATGTTGAGGGCTCGGAAGAGCTCACTGTCACGGCTGACGCCCAACTCCTCGACTCCGGTGACTCCATCGTTGATGGACTGGCGGGCGAACTTCTCCATCTGGATGTAGTAGAACTCCCTGAAGTTGCTGAACCACTTGATCAGCTGGGAGGTGATGCAGCGGTTAAACTGGAACGAGACACGAGGAGGAGTTAGTGCTTCGTTGTCAGTGTTGAAAAGATAGAAATGTGTAAATATTCTTCATGCAAGCGGTGTAGAGGCGGTGCTGAGCCTTTCTAAGCCACTGGATTTAAGTATGAGTGAAAAGGAGAAGTGTAAGGATGACAGCGTGTCATTTCGCATCAGGGAGTCGAGACATGAGGTGATAACTTAAAAGGCTGCGAAGAAACCGAGAGAGAAAGATAAAAGACGAGAGCAAGGAAGATCACAGGTTGTGGAGCGAGGGAAGATAATAGAGACATTAAGTAAGACAGCGAGCAAGGGGGGGGGGGGGGGGG